TTTGGGCAAATAAGCACCATACAAAGCCTGCCAAGAAAAAAGTTCATCACCAAGATGCTCTATGTATGTATAGACACTGAGTGGCAAACATTTAACACCTACTTATAGTAGAATGTGTATAGACAGGAGCATCTCCATGTCTGAGCGAGGGGTACAGCCTAACTTGGGAGCCCACCTTAACTCAAGTAGGAGCCTCCCTTTACTTGGCAGACTCTGATTTAGGAGTCTACCTAACTTAGTGGACTACATGGGCTTTTCATCAAGTTTACTGCATTTCATAGCATATGAGCAGTATATTTTCCTTCAGGTAAAGCCCATCAGCTCTCCTAGATGACTATTGCAATCATCAAGTGATTCTAGAATGAACTACTGGTGACAAGGGGTCCTGTTAATTCCCCTTCACTGAAGATCAGTAATTGTTCCTCTTGAGATCATATGTATAGTGAGTTTATCTACGTACTCATTTAAATTCATCAGCAGATTATCTATATGCATCCCACAGTCTAGGTAATGCTTATGAAATAACTAAACAACTTTCTTTCTTTTCTCATTTTCTTGAGAGGTTTTCTGGGTTTGGAAGAGGTTTTCGTTTATAACTTTATTCCCCTAACACAACCCAGGCTAGAAATATAACACCATTCTCTAATGCTGAGAAAGAAGAAATTATCAAAACTGCATGTAGGTGGCTGGTTTCCAGCTGTCAAAAGGCCTTTCTCTTGAAGAGAAGCTTTATAATACAAAAAGCAATCAGTTCTTTCTAGCACACTCTTTGCTTATTTGTCTTATATTCTAGCATGGTCAATAGAAGAGGCATGTCCTAAACACCCTCCAGTTCTGTAAGGTGTAATATTTTTGGAGCAAAGATACTCCTTAAGAAGGTGCTACTATACCCTTGACAAAATTATACAGAATGCCTGTCATTTGTGGAACATTGAGCATCTACTTAGCATTTTAAATAAATGATGTCATTCTGTAACGTGTTTTACATTAGTATATCAGTCCCATAAATAAGTGATTATTATGTAAATAACATAAATAAGTCATTTACATTAATGCTCTAAGGTAGAGGCTATCATCTATATGCCAGTGTTAGTAAACATCAGGTTAATTTTAGTCAGTGCCTGAGGCTCAATGTGAGGAGAGGCCATCATGGTAACAGATAATGGGATGGGTCATATAAATGAGGTGACATTTTAATCAGAACCCAAAGGAAAGAAAGGAGGGTAGGGAATATGGGGGATGAAAAAGAGACTCTGTTAAGATAAAACTAGAGTTTTGTTCCCCTACTGAGGAAAGCAGTAATTGTTCTCATCAATGGGGAGAGACAAAGAAGACTTGAAGTCAGCAGCAGATGAAGACAGAAGAGTTCTGGGATGGGAGTTCCCAGCTTCATGGAGCAGACCTGCACACCTGCATGGTGGCCATGGTGTTATATTTCTAGCCTGGGGTTTTTGTTTTTGGTGTCTGCACACTGAGTTATCTTTGCATTGTGGTATAGCACCTTTGCAGTCACCAGCATAATGGCCTGTGGATGGCTAGTTAAGGATGGCAGGTATGATACAGGGGGAGAAAGAAGCAAAGACAGAACTTTGCTTGAAAGCTCCTTCACTTTCCTTTGTTCCTGACTCATACCAATCTGTTCAGTGAGCACAAAGTCTGTCAATGGAGAGAATTAGTGAGTCTCGAAACGGAGGTCTTTTAAGGAAAGAACTTCTCTTGTGTGCTGCAGAGAAGCTTTTACTCTATGGCTAGACCAAGACAAGTCCAGAGCCTCTTTCTACTGTGAATCTGAAAGAAACCCAAAGCTTTAGGCCTGGGATGCATGTATATTAAATGTTACAAGGCATGTACATTGCTCAAGAGAAATCGTTAGCAGCATCTCTCCCATTCCAAATAGACTCCACTTTAGATAATAAATTATATACTCAGTCTGAAAATATGAAAGCACGTATTGCCTCCAAACTTTGCTTCTATCCTAGTAACCCAGAAACCCATTCTAGAGAGATTGGTAACTTCCTAGCATGAAGTTGCCTGAACTGGGTCAGACTGCAATATATACATGAATATATATGACCCTGTGAATGGTTCTTGTGTCAACCCTCAACCATGGCCCCTGTGGAATATAAACCATCCATTCTGTTCCTGAGTTGTTGTGTGACACTATTCCTAAGGGCATGCAAACAAACATCTATTACCTACCTCAGATGAGTAACCAATGGCAGATCACAGAATGGAGACCACCAAAATTCAACTTGGTGAAGCAATGAGTTTTACTGGGGTGACTTACATGAGTATGGGTGAGGGGTGACTTATGTGAGTATGGATGAGGGGTTACTTATGTGAGTACAGGTGAGAGGTTCCTTGCAGGAACAGAAGTGATTCAAAGACAGCTGCATCACTAGCCCCCACCTCAGCTCACAAAACCTGGAAACCAGGAGCTCACTGCACAGCTTGCAGGCCACTCAACAGGCATGGGCAGCCATGGTTCAAATAGCCTCTGTGTCCCAAGAGCAGACTCCTGCTTCTGCTGTCAGCTGCCGATCCAAGCCAACCTTCCTTATTAACCTTCAGACTCTGGTCCTTAGATCTACTCCCTTTCTGGAAAATTCTCAGATGACTATTTTTAGTATGCTCATGAAAATCCTTCATGTCCCCTCTAGAAAACCAGTCTCCACTCACAGATGAAAAGTCCTGTCCTACTGAATAAGAAGAAACTCAACCTGAGACCCAAAGTGGGTGCAGAGATTCCTCTGTGGGTGCTGGTAGTCACTACTCTGGCTGCTTTCACCCCACTGCTGTATTCATAGTCACATCCTATGGTGCCTGTGAACATTTCCCAAGCATGACTCCACACACCCCCATTTCTATCTACTTCCAGGCAATTGGAGTTACTTTCTTACTTCCATTTGGAAGCACCTTCACCTTTGACCACCTGTCTCCACCTCCTTAAGCACGAAGAACATTAAGTTTTTTTCAGAGACAGGAAGCCTCTCTGTAGGGCTGTGGCTAAGCTGCTGGCACAAAAACACAGTGGAGCCTCCTGGATTAACAGGCTCAATCTTCAGAGTGGAGAACAATCCACCAGGCATTTATGTTGAGTATCGGCTGTTGCTGGAGAGCTTCTCTCCAGGTTCCACCAAGCCCCGCAGTCCCACAATCCACGTATAAAATAATCACTCAGACGCTTATATTACTTATAAACTATATGGCCGTGGCAGGCTTCTTGCTAACTGTTCTTATAGCTTAAATTAACCCATTTCTACAAATCTATACCTTGCCACGTGGCTCGTGGCTTACCGGCGTCTTTACATGTTGCTTGTCCTGGTGGTGGCTGCAGTGTCTCCCCCCCCCTTCTTCCTGTTTCCCCAATTCTCCTCTCTCCTTGTCCTGCCTGTACTTCCTGTCTGGTCAATGGTCATCAGTGTTTTATTTAGATAGAGCGATATCCACAGCAATTGGCCCTTGAAAAATTCACCCTTTTCTAAACAAGTCATCGCACAGAATGAAACCACAAACTCCCCACTCCTTTTTCTGGTGTCTGTTGGTACCAAGAGATGGCAAAATGACCAGGAATTGTGCCACATCTATAAATGACATTCTGTCCCATTTCTGTAACTTCATGATTAGGAGTTTGTGTGACTCCAGGTTCCATGTGTCCAGTGGAGGAGACAGAAGGCAAAAAAGGGAATGAAGAGAAATTTAAGAATTGCTCCGATTTAAATGCAGATGAGAATTTCCCAAGTACTTTCTAGACTCGCACCCATTGTACCAAAGTTTACCCAGCGAAGGATGGTAGGGTCACATAGGACCAGAGGATTCACAGCTAGGGCTTTGGTTGCTAACAGACCATAAAGGAAATCCACAATGTCACTGTCTGTGCTACACTCCATCTCCAGGGTGCCATCAAGAGAACAGAAACCAGAGTGCCCATCATGGGTATGAGATGCCCCAAGGTAGCCCCATGGATATTCTAAAGGCTGCAGTGTGCATTAAATCATGTGCCGACAGGTACCTCTTATTTACGGTTTCAGACAGTGAGACCGAGGTCAGAATTTGAAAAGAATCGTAGGCTCTCCTCTTTTTTCTGATGGCCAGTGAAAAGCTGCATGCCAGAGGCTCTGAGCATGGTAGTTTTCGATGTGGTGAAACTAAAAAAACAGACAGAGAGGTTGGCAAGAGTTGGCTTCCAGCTGAATGAGTGGAAACACACCAGTGCAGTTTCTATGTGCAGGATTCAGAGAAAGTTTCTGTGCAGACAAAGCATTTTGATCAGAGCTAATGTTTAAGACTAGCTAAAGATGGAGAAAAAAGAAATCAGAAATGCTGGCATAGACAATATCAGAAATAAAGAACCACTAAAGACTATGTGTGGGGTGTGTGTGTGTGTGTGTGTGTGTGTGTGTGTGTGTGAATGTATGTATGTATGTATGTATGTATGTATTTCAAACACATTTCCCAAAAGCTATGGTCTTCTCCTGTGCTGTCATCTGGCTCCAGACCTGGCATCCTTCCTTAGATTCTCAGCCTCTGATTCCTCACGACTTAGTGCTTCCTGGATCCAGAGGCAAGAGTACTGGCGAAGAGGCTTTGAAGTGGCAGGACCGAAAGCATACGGAACAGGACGCCTCTCTCAGAAAGATGTCTCACTTTCTAGCCCTGGACTGAATCTAAGTATGTGTTGAGATGTTTTGTAAGCTATTAGTTGAAATGATTCACTTTGTAGCAGGTTTATTTTCTCTCACAATTACAAAATCATTTAAAAATTGAAACCCACAAGTATTTATCTTCTCATCAGTTGGCAGGAAAGCCACGCGCAGGAAACATGGCCATGAAATCTAGAGGTGCTACATGGGTTGAGTTGGAAGCTAGTATTATGGTTTGCAACATCTGCCTTGAGTCCTACAGGAAATGTTCATTGGAGCCCTCAGTTGTCCCACAGCTTCCTGGAGTTGTAGGTTTGTGTACAGAGAGCTGATGGATCTGCAGGGCTGTGTCTTTGCTGCTAGCACAGAAATACAGAGCTGAGTCTTCTGGCTCCAGGGCAGACAGGTGAAGGAATAACTTGGAGGTGTCTGGACATTCAGGTAAGAAACGACTGGGCACAGTCTCATTTTGAATCAGTTGTTTAAGATTGTAGAAGAACATGAGCTCTGGCGGCTTCTCGGCATTCTGTTTATACCAGTACATGGCATTATTTCCCATATATTGTTCACATTTCAAAGATTTATTATTTGCTCTTCCCATGACCAGATATCTAGGTGTCTGAGAAATTTTAGTGTTCATGAGCGCTGTGGGAAGAAAAGGGCAAGAATTTAGACAGAGTTCAGGAAAAAAGGTAATGGCTTCAGCTAAAAGAGATTTGGAGCTAGGAGCCAGTAGGATCCAAGACTCACCTGCCTCTAGGAGACATAGGAAAATATAGAAGAGCAGCCAGCATCTCATGGTGGAATCAGGTCCCAGATGGGCATTGTGTAGCAAGATACCCTGGATGACAGCTGGGTCTATCTCTCCTGGCACTTATTGGTGCTTTTGCCTGTGATGTCACTATCCTTTTTAGTTTCTCCTGCTCCAAGAGATGTTTCCTTTTCCCCTTTCACAGTCACCTTAGATTGTACTAGAAGATGAATTTACTGAGCTAGGAGAAATGAATGTTTAAAAAAAAAAAAAACAAAACGCCAACTCAACAATTTAACCCTCAGAGGTATTTCTAGAAGTTGTTCCCATGCTTGTATTTTACCCTCTCATCATGCAGTTCTTCACCCCCACCCTCTCCCAGGTCCGTCTCTAACACAGCCCATTTCTCCTTCAAAAGTTCCCGTTCCTCTCCTGCTCAGTTTCAAGGAACAGCACCCTCAAACTGCTGCTCTGGTTCATGCTTAACGGTGGTGGCCCAGCTTTGTGGAAGGTAGAGGTGGTTTATGGTGATGATTAGATGATTTTGAATGCCTGTTCATCATTTGAAGTGTATGACTGTGGTGTCATTCAGAAGCCAGACACTGGTTAAGACAGGGAAGGGAACATAAAGTGGATGAGACAGCCTGTGTGCATGTTGTTTGAGGTATGGAGCTTGAGTAGGTATAGAGGAAAGATACTGTATATAAGATGCTGAAACAGACATCATTTGATATTAGACCAAGAGAAATCAATTAGAAATTTATGCCAGTGTTTTGAAGATGTCTACAACTGAGGCTTCCACCTAATAAGGAGTCCAGATGGGTGAGATTCCCCCTTTTCTCACCCTCCAGTGGCTCACCTTCCCCATCACCAGCTTCATAGATATCCTTAGATCACAGCTCCATCCTGTGGCCAAAGTGGCCCATTTACACACTGTAAGTCTCACTCTGATTTCTGCTATGCAGAGGTTGGCAGTGCCAGGATTCTTACTCTGCAAGGAGTCAAATGGGTGTTAACTATGCATCTTGTGTGGAGCTCATAGGCCAAATTGGTTTGTTCAGTCTTCAGTGACCAACAACTAGGAGCAAGTAACAAAACACCATGTTCACCCACAGATTAGCAGGACAATTAAGCATATTCATAGATAACCAGAAAATAAAATTCTAATATATTTAAGGAAGTCGTTTTGTATTGTAGTGTTTAAATCATTTCATATGTGTAAATATGACATTTCTCACCTGTACAACCAGAAAAGCTGAGATGAAACAACCCCAGCTCTGTCCATTTTTGCAATGTTAGAAATGGAACTAGCCTCATCATGACTTCCCATACCCTTCCAATGGAGACAAATTGGGGTGGCCCAACATGATTGCTTCGATTTCCTTATATAAAATGTGTATTGCATTTGACCGCTTAGTTACTTGATACTACCTTTATGAAAACATATCGCTATGAAAATGTTGAGTTTTTGTTTTTAGTCTAGAAAACGTGTGGTCCATAACTCCTAAATAAATTGGAGTATTCACTTATTGTTGTGTATATTTTACTAATTAATCATGGTGCACAGTACTTGAGGATTAACAATTTCTAGACAGCTAGAATTTGGGGCACAGAGTGCTGAAAAGAACCCCAAGAATCTGAATAAATAGATCTTTTTTGAGAGAACACTATTGAATTTGTGGGTGCAGAGGTTGGGCTACCTGAAGGCAGAATGGAGAACATTCTGGAAGGCTAGAGAGTTGAGAAGAGTTTTCAGCAGACAGTTAGGGCTAGAGGACTCTGTCATTTGGGCCTCATTATATAGGAGAGACATTGGTAAAACACTTTGGTTTTTACAGAAAGTCTGTGAATGAACAAAAATAGCTACGTGCTAGGACTCCCTAATAGGGAGAGTAATGCTGAACTTGTCCCTACAAAATGCTGCATTCAAACACTGGATAAAATAGGACTTGTATAAGAAAGTGACTAACTCAGAACATCCACACTAACAATGACTCACATTAACTGCTTTATACCATGTCTTACAGAATATTTGTGTCTTCTCTTGGTGAGTCTCACCCATCTAGCCCATACCACTGTTGTATTGTACCAAAATACAAATGTAATCATATGTTGAGGGGGTCCCTGCAGGTGGTCACGGCAGGCAGGGAAGAGAACCATGAACAGGTGAGAATGAAAATTTGTTTCAGATTGGCTCTGTCAACATGGATCAAACTCTGGGGAGCCTGATGACAGATGATTTATTCCCAGTGAATTTAAGCATGATACAATTTTGGGGGGGGATCTTGGTATAGCACAACACCCACTGAGTAAGGAAGTATAATTACATCAAAACTCGACTCAGAATACATGTAATTTCTTCTAGAGACAGGCTAACCTATACAACCTTAAGAGCCTACAGAAGGATATAGCCTAGTCTTGATCATACAGAGAGTATAGAGGTCATTTGAGCTATTAACCACCTCTGGTCTTGGTTGTGGGAGCTTAGGGGAGGCCCTGGATATACAGATAATGTATGACTCATTTAGACTGTCAGGTAACTCCAGTCCTGGAACAATATTATGTAACTCTAGTAAGCCCAATAGCTAACTATTGGATGGAAATTTATAGCTAAAGTCCTTTCTGTGTCACAACTATCCTCCAGAATCTACTGCTGCCTACTTTTGGAGAAGGTTGAAAGACAACAGAATAGGGTGAAAAATTGTGTTAGTTGATGAGAAGGGGTCCTCACGTATATGCCTGACTCAAACAACTTCTCCCTCATCTTTTCTTTTTAGTTTATCTGTGGCCATGGACATTCCTGCTTCTCCAGATACCTTTCTCTTGAAACAAACAAACAAACAAACAAAATAAAAAACCTCAGTGATGATCTGAGTTTCCTGTAGCATCTTAAAATCAGTTATTTTGCACTGCCCTTTAGATTTGTGCTCCTCAAATACTTGTAGAAACCATCTGCCTTCAATCCTAATGTTACAGGCAATACATACATGGCAAAAAAGAAGAAGCAGTGTCTTCTCTCAGTTAATATCTCTAAGGTCTTTCATTGTTGGCAGAGTCTAGGTACTCGGGTGACTATGATGTGAATTACCATTCTGGCTAATCTGCAGAATTCCGCAAGACTCATCTGTGCATAAAACACAGAGCTAATTCACCTTATGGACTGTCATAGGAGGTTAGACTATAAACTGAAATGCCACTGGGGCCTCCAAAGCCCTGGGGGCTTGGAGCCTAAGGTGTGGGTTAACACTCAAGGCCCACTGCTTCCTGGCTGGCTGGGTTTGTGCACAGGGAAGCAGTGGCTCTGCATGGCTGTGCCATAGCTGCTGGCACAGAAGTACACAGCAGTGTCATCCAGTTCTAAAGACTTGACATGAAGATTCAAAAGAGCTTTATCTGGAGACTGGGGTGAGAAGCGACTCAGAACTGATTCATTTAAAATGAGTTGCTTATTATTGTAGATAAACATGATCTTCAGCAATTGCTTAGAGTCTTGCTTGTACCAGTACATAACATCATGGCCCAGCTTTTGTTCACACTGGAGAAACGCGTTATTTCCCACCTGTGTGACAAGATGTTTTGGAGTCTGAAAAACAGCCGTCTCCAGGGGACCTGTGGAAAAAATGATCAGAATTCAGGGAAATTTTAGAAGTAAGCAAAAGCAAAAGCCTCAAACAGGATCACATCTTCTTGCCTAGGAACTCAACTACTCACCTACTCCTAAGAGGCAGAAGGCCACACAGCTTAGGAACCTTGAACCCATGATTGGCTTATGGCAGATCAGATAAGTCCTTACCTCAGGGTTCTACTGCTGCTATCAGAACAGGCAGTAGGCTTCACTATAGCTGACACGTGATTTGTCTATCTACCACTGAAGCCAGAAAGGCACTTGATTCACAAATACAGACAGACAGATATATGCGAGCATGCATGTGTGTGAGCACAGACATAGAGGCAGAGGGAAACTGAAACATAGACAGAGAGAGGAAGACAGGCATTGGTAGTACAAACAAGAGAAAACCCAGACAGTTCACATGCATTTTAAGGAGCATAGAACTAGTATCAAGGGTACAGCATTGGAGGAAAGAAGAATGACTATGAGCCTTCCTGAAAGGTCAAGTGCAGCTTACTGATTTCAGACCTTAAATACCAATGTAGTGCAAAGGAAGACAAAAATAATCTCATTCTTAGAATAGTCTATTCTCATAGTAATTAAAAGAATGGAATCCAAATGTGGGGTCCTAACTCCTATGATCCCAGCACTCAGAAGGCTGAGATAGGAAGATTGCTGAGTTCAAGGCCAACCTATCTATAAGGCCAGGCCAGCCAGAGTTAAAGACTAAGACCCTACCTCATAAAACCAAATTTAGAAAATATAAAGATTGCCTATGAATCAAGAATATGAAGTACACACTCTGTGGAAGGCAGGAATTCATTTTAAAGCACTTTATACAGCATCCCATTTTCTCATCTGCAAAACAGTGGGCTAAGAATAATTCTCAAGTCCAGTGAGCATTCATTAATGCATCCAGCACACACTGCTGCATTGCATTACAAAGCTTATGTGTGCAGTGTTTCAAAGGAAGATGTAAGGAAGCAAAAAGAGAAAGAAAGGAAGACAGGGAGGGGGAAGGAAGGACAGGGAGGGGAAAGGAGAAAGAGGATAAGATAGAGAGACAGAGATGGAGGAAGAGAGAACTTAATGAAAAGAACAGGAAAGAAAAGAAAATGAGGAAGAGGGGGTGGGATGAACACTGTAAGGGACAGGTCACTCTGGTGATCACAACCATGAAAATAAATGACAATACTTAAAGAGTAGATTTTAAGTAATTATCTAGCCTACGACTACTTTCTTCAAATATTCTTGACACAATCAGGCAAGCACCCCTAGAAATGATGCTAAAATGAGCCTAGCTTAAAAAAAAACTTTTTTTTTCCATAGGAAGCAATGATAGTTCTAAGTACTATTAAATATTGTTTTAAAGAATTGAAAAACCAGAAGATTTTGTAATGATTTTTTTGTAATTGCCTAGAGGATAGGAAGA